GAGGCTCAAGGGTGACCTTACTGCCCTGTATAAATCCCTGACAGGAGGTTGTAGTCAGGTGGGGGTTGGTCTCTTCTCCCAGGCAGCCAGCAGTAGGACAAGAGGGCACAGACTCAAGCTCTGCCAGGGGAGGTTTAGGTTGGATATTAGGTAGAGATTTGTTATGGAAGAGTAATCAGGCATTGGAATGGGCTGCCCAGGGAGGTGGTGGATTCACCATCCCTGAAGGTTTTCAAGATGAGACTGGATGTGGCACTTAGTGCCATGGTCTAGTAACCATGGTAGGGTTGGACTCAATGATCTTTGTGGTCTTTTCCAACCTGATTAGTTCTATGATTCTATGATTCCCATGGTGACTCAAAATACTGTATACTTGCAGAAATGTGCTCTAGATCTCCCCTTTATTTCTCTGAAAAGCACTAGGTGAGCAGCAAAAAAAGACAACAAAATAGGTTCTGCCACTGAAGGACAAGTAGAACTTTTGTTAGCACCTTGCTAATCAATAAGCATTAGCTTGGATGTGATGAAAGTCCCAGAATTATAAATTGGGGCTATAGCAACAAGAAGAGTTTCAGAAAAAGAAAAAAGAAGACATAAAACTGTAGAGAGCTAAGATCTATTTGTCTACTACCTACAGAAAGAAAAAGAACCCCTAAGATTCTTTCTGGCTCAGGTCTTTTAGTTTTAAGCCAAGATTACCCAGAGCTATCTCTTCCCTTACTCTCTTCACCATGCTTGAAGCACAGAGAGAGAGCTACAGAGCTCCTAAAACTGACTAAGTTATAGTGAGACTGGCAGTCTCCCATGCCTGTGCTTGGCTTGTGTGCTGTTGACAGTCTCATGGGAACAATGAAATTGTTATCTGGGCCTCATCTTTATTCTCAGCTGAATAATCAGTGGGAATGATAAAGCCTTACTTTCTCTGTAGAGAAAGCAGCATGAAACAGCAGGTCAAGTTACAAGCTGACCCTCTGTTCTCTTTGGAAAAAAATATTTTTGTGCTGGCTGCAACTCCAGCTGCATGCATGTTGGGTGCTCTCTGTTACTGGTTGTCAAAATAGTGGTTCAGAGAGCCAAATGGGTAGGTTTATAAGCATCTCTGCTGAGAAACTCCTTGGGATTTGCTCCACATGGTGCTGCTGAATGCCAAGAATTACTCTGGCCATCAGCAATCTAAAATCAGACATGATATATCTTCTGGTCTGATGTGAATTGGAAAGAGAATGTAACCACTACAAGGAAAGACCACAAGGCATAAAAGGGGCAGGAAAAACAATGAGCAGGTGGCCAGAGAAAGTCCACATTAAAGAAGTGCTACTTCCCCTGCATTATATTACATCCTCTTCTCTACGGGATTTCTTAACACATCACAAGGGATAGTCCTGGGAGCACTACACAATACATCACTTTGCCGTGAATTGTTTCTGTTACAATCACTTTGAATTGGACTTTATAAGTACAAGAAATGTCACTTCATGTGCTTCTAAAAATTATGCATATTTTTTCAGCCACTCTCTCCTATTCTAATTTTTAAGCTAATTTTAGCTGGAAGTTGCTCCACATTCTCCTCCCCCACTCCTCAAGGAGGTGAGTATAACACTTCTACTTGCTGCTGAAAGCTATGGCATTTGGGACTTACTGAAGAGCAATGTTTTTGAAAGCCAAATTAAGATTAGGTGGTCTGACCTTCGATTCCAAATTCAGCTCTTCCCCACAGAATAATTCTTTCACAATGTACAAAAACCCCAAAACCATAGGCAAATAACCAGCATGAATATGTAATCAGCCAGAGAGCAATGCCACAGAATAACAAATTCCTCTGTGTCTTCTAGAAATCATCTCTACTAATCATAACAGCACAGGCCAGCACTCCTCCTGGTGGATTGGGCTTCTGGTTCTCTAGAGGGATGAACTGATTCAGCCATGGTAGTGGTTTCTCAAGCAGTGGTTATGATCATCTAGCTGTCTGAGAGAAAGGCTCTGCTGACAAAATTCCCTTCCACTACTTAGCTGTCCTTTGGGGAGTGTCCTACACAAAGGCAACAGACACATGAATCTCTTGAAAATGCATATGCCTTATTCATAAAGAAGCTAGCTGCAAGTCCAGGAAGGCAAATGGTTAGTAGTACCTTTAAGAACATCTGACTGTGAAACTATTTTTAGCTTTCTATTCTTATGGGGCCTTGAAGAAACACCAGTCACTGGAGCCAAGACTGTGGTGAGAACACACTGGAATGGAATCAAGAATCACACCTTCCCCTCCTCCTCCTTCCACCTGACAGTGATCTTCTATTGTTGCTATAGTGCTGCTTTTTTACACGCCAAGAAACCACGAATTGAGCAAGCAGACTGGGAGGTGCTGGCAGCCACAGATGAAAAATACCAAGGCAGGGAGAAGACTGAGGCAGGAAAATGGTGATTGTATGTGGGAAGGGGAGGTTGCCCATTGAACCCATGTATGGGAAAAGAAGAAAAACTGGCTGTAAAGGCAAAAGGACAAATAATCTGATGAAAGAAAGCAAAACAGAATTAGGTACTCACATTTCAGTGGGGGGAATTGTCTGTCCCAGCCAAAACTGGGCCTCTTTTCATGTCATGAACTCCATGTCAGCCTTCCCTTTACAGGTGCTTTTAATTCCCAAACACTGTACTCCATGTATGCAGCAGTATTTCTTCTCATTGCTGCATTCTCCCTTACTCAATCCAGAAATAAGGTTGGGAAAGTTGGGGTTTTTTTTACAGGAGGATCACTGGCTAATTACATGATGAACTGCCAGCAACAGCCAGACAGCCTGGGGGGTGCTGACAGGGCAAAGACCCTTCCTCTATCCCCAGAGGCAAAGCAAACTCAGGCCACGTGGAAGAAAAATGAACTCATCACTGTCTGTCTCATGGTGAATGAGGACTGGAGGGACCTGAGTTAGCTCCTTGTAGATAGGTAATCCTTGCTCAGAAACCACCCAATGTAATTCCCAACAACTGGCTTTCATTAACAGCAGGAAGAAAACCCACCACTGTTGCTTTGCTTGCCAGCTCAGCTGTTTCATCTTTAACTAGTCTCTATCTTTTCCTCTGCCTTTCCAAGGAGTGCTTAGGATAGAGGTCGGGGTTGCATGTAACAGTGCACTACCTGCTTACTATGACTCCAAGAGCCATGTGAAACATTTGCTCAGCAGTCATTCAACCCTCAGTAAGAAAGAGCACAAATTTTATTTCTTCCTTCAGTCCATGCCATTTGTCAAACTGTCCTTTTACTTTCCAGGCTGAGATCAAAAAAGCTTTTCATTAGGCTTAACTCTGCTAAGATCATCAGCAGGAGCTCCACATGAGAAGCTTTTATTTGTTTTTTCTTGGTTAATGCATTCTGGAATCGAATGGAAAGGAACGAAAAAAGAAAGCTCACTTTCTCTTATCGTAAAATATATAGTGCTTCTGATTCTGAGGGAGATATTTTAAATACGGCGCTTTGGAAACCTTCAGATACTTACAGCTTCAACAGCTTTCAATCCAGTCTTTATGTTGTGGACTTCCTTCTCCAGCTCTACCAGGCTGCACAGGAGACAGACACAGAGCAGATAAAACAAAAAGAGCAGTGTTACGCAGGGATACAGGAACTGTGCAGCAGAACAGACCACTGGCCCATCAAGTCTGGTATCCGGCCTCTGGCACCAGTCATGCCAGATGACTAGAAATGAGGGGAACGGGGTCTGTCAATGCTCTGTGCTGCTTTTTGTATGAGATGTAAGATGAGGCAGACCCTGCTTGCCTGTGGCCGTTTTTGTGGGATTTTCCAGGGAAGAAGAGGGAGGCTGCCCTCAGAACATCTGCCCTGGGAGCTGAGCCTGACCCTTCAACAAGGAGCATATGCCACACTGGCAGCTTGCAGTAATCAGCTGACACATAAGCAAGTACCCCAGCTTCAGCATACACATCACCTGAGTCTCAGACTATCTCTACATGTGATTCTTGAACCATATAACTACTAAATCCCATTAACAGTATATTTACATGTGATTTTTATCTCCCTCACAGTCCAAACATTTTTTTCCATCTGCACTTCTTCCATATGTTAGTCAGGGCAAGCTTACACTGTAACTGAGTATATAACTTTACTCTTAACAATACATACTTCCCTAGACACAAGTGTTATACTGAATTTCTGCTCATCACATACAAACAGGAATTTCTTTTCTCTATGACTTGCAAGCCAAAACTAAATGCCTTTAAGTGTGGAATTGCATTTATTTTTCACTTGTCTTTCACTACTTGGAGGAGTTCCTTATGCAAAGAATCATGTCTGGATAAGTAATATGCCAAGGTATTTTTTGAGCAGTGCTTTGGAAACAAAAAAATGCTAATGTTTTGGGGGATGGCTTCTGTGTTCATTTTTCACAAACACCTCCAAAATGGGAAAAAATACCATTGATATTTTTTCAGAACATATGATGCTTTCCACATTGCCGTGCAAGACTGTTTTGTGCAGAAGTTTGAATGATCTTCCTGAAAAGGGCTTACTTTAGCCTATGTACCTAATTGACTCTGCCTTAGACACAAACCTGCAATTACCCAGGTAAAACAGCATGACTTAAATGAAGAACCATAGAATATGACAAGTGAATTACAAACAACAGAGAGGCTAGTTACAATGTCTGATTCAGAAATAAAGTAGATATAGACATATCTGAGTAAAGCTATCAATTTAGTTACCTACAACAAAGGCATTTCAACTGTAAGGCTGGCCATGAGTTTAGAAGACAGAAATGAAAAAAAGTGATGATAATTAAGTTAACAGAAATCACTGGGAACTCCAGCTTGAGGAACAAGCAAATGGACTTACTTGACTTTTGCTGCTTCTGGAAGATGCTGTAACTCAGACTGAATATCTAGGATATCTGGATAATTCTTTTCAAAGATCATAATTAAGTAGTGCAACAGTGTAATGTTCCTATAGGAAAGAAAAAAAAAATAAAAAAAAGAAGTGAGAAATGAGAAGGAAGGTGGTCATGAGATGGAAAGGATGGTGGGAGAATTGTGACAAATCAGTGAAAAATATTTGGGTAGGAAATGTGCTTGATTGAACAAAACAAACAATATATCATTAGTTAGCAGCTCTGTTACTGAAAGAAAGTACAACAGACTGAAATGAATTAGTCCTTTATGAACCATCCTTCCTAAAATTTCAAGCAATATATTCTATCTTAATTTATTCTGGAAGCACCAGCCCTCAAGCAATATATTTTATCTTAATTTATTCTGGAAGCACCAGCATGTTTCCATCCATCTCTATAGATGGTGTAAAAGAAAAGAAAATTGCATAACACAGTATAATATTTGTCCCCAGATACTTCAGAGAATAAACAGCTAATAAACAACAAAAGTGACATTGACTTGTAAGGGAGAAGTGAGCTGTTCTCAGAGGCAATGTGGGAAAAAACCTAAGAGTTAACTAAGAAGAAGAAAAGGTTCTTGAAGACTGAAGAAGCTGCAAATAGATCTCCTGCAGCAATGAAACCGCTTAGCTTATGAGTAGCAGGTCAGGCTCACTACTACAAAAGCAGTGGCAGGTCAAGTAGGAGTGGATAGAATATAAATGCATGAGGGATGCAGGAGAAGGTTTAAGAAAATTTGTAAAGCAAATGATCAATTTTGTATGTAGAGAGAACAGCCAGCCATAACAGCTATTTGAGGTGAGTGTTATGTGGTTAACTGACAGGGAAGATAGCAGATGGCCATTGCTTCACACAGACTGGAGCCTGGGAGCTGGGAACTGGTGAGAGAAAAGAATCAGCACAGAGCATTTAAAATATGGAAAATCAAACCAAGCTACAGTAAGGGAAGAAGAAGTTCAATACTAGCTATACAAGTGTTAGCCTTGGAACAGGGAAAGACATTGTGGTAGTCAAAATAAAACTCTGTTAGTTCAAACTCTGTTAGGTATGGATGAATTTCCTATGAGATGTTTTACAGCCATTATTCATTCTATCACAGTCGGAAGTCATTTCACCACAACCATGGTCTCAGCAGGTCTCACAAGTCAAGGAAGGTGCAAGTCAGTAAGAACCAACATAAGAGATCTCCAAGGAAAACCTCAGTGCTGCTGGAGTCCAGAAGTCATATTCTCTACCCAGTCACAGATAGATTACTTTCCAGAACCGGTATGGGGATGTGGGGCAAAACATAGCACTATAAAAACCTGCAGTCCATGTCCATAAACAGTAAGCTCCACCTTCCCAAACCAGTTGTTTTCCTTACCTGCTCTAGATACAACCAGGATCAGTCTCTCTAAGCTATGCCTTGTGGTTACATTAATGGTGTGGGTAGAGAGACTGTTTTGACATCAGAAACATGCACCATGTTTCACAGGAGACAAAACTGCTCAGAGGTTTTGTGGTAGGGTTTTTTGCAAAACCATGGCCATAAGACTTTGGCATAAAGGGCAAATTCTATAGCAATCCTGCTTCTCCCCAAATGTTTTTCAGTCCCTCATGAAATACTACGTTTTATCATCTTTGCACAGTGCAGCAGAAACACAATCCAACAACAGATGTTCATTATCCAGAGAAACGGCAAAATCTGAGTGCTGTGTTAATAGCTGGTCTTAACTGCTGCAGAATCTTTCAGAGTGTAATGCACTACTTAAGTGCCAAATAAGGCATCGTTACAAATTGTCTACGGGTCTAAACTTAAACAACCCTCTGCTTTCATTAAGAAAGATAGGAGATACAGCAGCACAGTAACTAGCCCATATACAGCCTTCAACCCTACCTGTCTATGCTGGATTTGGTGTCTGCAATTTTGTTCAGGCTGGAGACTTTGAAGCCATACGCACTTCCCCTTTGGCCCTTGTTCATGTAATTCCCAAAGGCCAGAACTACCTCCAGGAGTTGCCTCAAACGCTTGCTTCGGATGAGTTCTTTGGATGCCAGAAGAATGGCTTAAAAAAAAAAAAAGGAGAAAAAAAATAACAGGTTATTGCACAGTGGCTGTTTTTAACACGCTTGGGCCCATAATTTGAAGTACCTTAAAATGCCTATTTGACTATTGCACAACAAATGCTGCAACACTGTCTGTGTGTGTACTGTCCTTCCTGCACACTACACAGGACAACTGGAAGGAAAATACACTGCTTCTAGCTTGTAAGAAGCTCCTGGAGTTGACACTCTAAAAACATAGCCAGTGAGAACAGGGGAAAGGCTTGAGCTCATCCTTAAGTACAGAGTAGAATAGACTCCCCTCTTCTCTGCAGTAACCATGGATATGAAGCCATGCACCTCCCCTCCTTTTAAGTTACACATTCTGAGACTATCAGTGTCCTGAGGCATCTATTCTAACTATCCTTTGGAGAGGGAAGGTGCAAGAACTTGAGGGTGAGAAGGGAAGACTGACCTGCACAGACAGGCCATGAAAGCTTTTGGCAGCTCAGCACAGCCTGATAGCACACTGCCACATCTGTCAGGTCATATTTACAGTGTAACAATTGTGAAACTGACTTTATTAAGTCAATGGGTTCAAGAAGAATGTCAGACAGAATTAATTTTTTGGGACATGACATGCCTTGGGCTCACTGGCTAGAGCATAGCACGCACGTAACAGCATCTCCTTTGAAGAAAAGCCTTTCTTGACCTTCCCTGCCCCTCTACACAATCTTAGCAAATGCTTTATTAACCATACCTTCCACTTTTGGCTTTGCTTCTGCCAGCCTCTCTGGAAACTTCTTCTTAAAGAATAATGCTTGCAGCCGCTGCTGATAGTGGTCAATCCTGAAAGAAGGGTAGAGGAAAACCAACACTGAACTAGAACTCTTGAAGCCCAGGGCCAGTATGCTGCCTACATAATCTAATGGTTGGATGTTCAGTCCCATGAGGCCTATGCACAGGATTACAGACATAGTTTAAACATATAATACTACATAATCAACCTTGTTATGAAAATGGAGAGCCTCAAGTCATGTTCTGATCTTGACTGAAAAGGAGCTGGAAGAATTCCCACTATTCTCAAAGTATGAGAGTCATGTGAGATGCCAGCTACACCTCAATTAGTACATCAAGATGTTACTCCTGACCAGGGGTGTAGCAAAACTGGCACAAGAAAGAGGGTCAGAGGATGAGGAGATGGGATAGCTGAATGGAAAAAGAGATCTATATGAAATCCTGACCCCTGGCTACACTACATCTGATACTTGGATCTGAATTCCATTTTGTGAACAAATTTAGGCAGAGGAGGCAAATTTCTGCTTGTCATCAGAGGACCAGTCCTTAAGCACAGAGAGTGCTTATTGTCAATAAAAAGTTTGTGTCATGAAGAGAAATATTTGTAACATTTGTGGGCTTCTGGCAAATGCAGGATATAATGCTGGCCCACAATCTCTTGTACATTCCCACTCAGTGCCAGATGATCCATTTTCAATAACAATTACAGCTGCTTCCAAGAAGCCCTGCTTGCACTTTCCCATAATGTATCAAACAGACCTGCTCATTTCAAAGAGGAAACGATCCGCTCGGGCCATGCGCTCAATTTCGTGTTTATGCTCCTCCAACAAGTCAGTATCACTCTTTTCAGGAACAAACTTCAGTAGCTAGAGTGAAAGACACAAACCAAACACTGAGATGCAAGATCCAAGAAAAATGAGAGAGTGACAGAGAGGCACAAATAAACCCTGACAAAGAGAGAGGGCCCACAGATTTATCTGCTACCACAGGGAAGCATTACGTTGACACAGCCGTGTGACCATAGCTTCAAAAAAGTGCAGCTGTGTCTACAAAATTGACCTTTTCTAAACCTTTGCTTGCTGTTCTGTCCTTATCCTTCACTGACCCCCATTAAGATTAATTTTTAATTCTGGGGGGAATTTCCTATTTCAAAATCCTAAAAGGCAAGTGCTGCTGCAACTTACCCAAGTGGAAGTTCAGAGATAACTCGATTCCCACAGCATTACTTGGAGTTTAGATCGGTGCAAACAAGAGCAGGATGTGTCCCACACAGTGTGAAGTACCCATCATGCCTATCCTAGAGTATGCACAAAGCCTCATCTATCTCTCTTTTTCTACAGTGCTGAAACAATAAACAATAACCAAGCGACTGGATATGTGTCTGACACTGGCTGCTATTCATATGCTGACCTTAAAAGCTCATACTTTGACAGATTTTTGACATATCTGGTGGCAGTTGTGCTTTAGTATGGTTATAAATACAGCCATGAACACAGCCTCAGTGCACATCCACAAAAACTGCTCACAAGGCATATCAAAAAGTTTGGTTTTTTCCACTTCTTAATATTTTATTCCACTCCACAAAAATGGCATATTCAAAGGTGTGGAGCATCAGAAGCTTGCAATAACTTCTGGAGCAGCTGTGAGCATTCAGATAACATGACAAGGAGGCTATAAATTGCCAAAATAGAAAAGTTTTTTGTACATGTTTAAATACTGTGACTGCACAGAAAGAAGGAATCACATTTGTTAGACAGTTCAGAATTATACACATTTTGCACACTCCTAAGGAACTTTTTCATATGCATCTTTGGTCAAAGCAGGCAGAAAAGGGAGATGAAGTAAAAGAAAAGAAGAGAGAGAAGAAGAACAACAACAAAAAATAATCAGCAGGATAAAGAAGAAATAGGAAAAATTATGGGGAAAGGGAGGACATGAAAAGAAACCTCATACCAACTGTAATCACGCATATTTTGCATCAAGAAGAGAAAACTTATGAAATCAACCAGATACAAATACAGACATATATCCAACAACACTGGGAAAAATACTTTTCTCATGATCCCATATGCAGCTTCATTGACATGACAGGGCCAAGTTCAGATCTGCAGTCATACCAGCAGATCTTGTACAAATATCCACTTGAAAAAATGGCAATGAAGGACTTAAGAATTAGTTATATCTGACTACACTTTCTCACCTGCTCAAGCATATCTTTTGCTAAGTCTTCTTGTTCATCCATCTTCAAGATTGCTTGTCTGATCTCTTCATTAGACAGTTTCAACCTTTCAAAAATATCAACATTGTGCAATTAGTGCAAAGCTTAAGTGACTCTGACAATTCAGAAAGGAGGAAGCATGAAAGGCTGCACTAAACAGGCATGAAACAACCATGGCAAACTCTGCTGTGAAGCTGTTATTCTAGAGTATTGAGTAAGATGAATGGATCAGTTCTGAAGGCAGAGATTTTATAGACCATATATTTTTATCCTCATCAGCTAATCAAACACACATCAAAAATCAGATGGCGATTAAGAACAATCAGGTCCTCACAGATCAAAAGTGCTTCCACCTTCCCTCATGCCAGATATCTCCCTCATCAAGTTCTTCTACTATAGTAAAACCCCTCAAATCCAAGTGACTTTATGACTGTGAACCCATGTAACAGCCCAACTTGTGCATACTGAAGTATCTCCTGGAGTAACAAATAATGGCCCTGAACATTCCAGTAAACATCTGAGAACAGGATTACTTGTAAGAAGACTGGCTGTTGCTAGTCAAGTTCACTCTGTCAGCAGTCACAGCTGAGGAAGAAACAGCATCTATGTATCCATGTTTTGTATCCAATAAGAAACAAGCTCTGAAAACAAAATCTTATTAATGTTATCTGAGGTATTAAACTTACACTTTCCTTACCACCTATGCCTGTCCATCTGTGTGCAGTGAGTAGGGGTCACCAGCTATAACTAAACACATAATCAATAAAAAAAAAAAGTCTCAAGGTCTCCACTTGAAATCCAGGGCAGACTAGGAGGAGTCAAAATTTGTGATTACTGCGACGTTGTTTGATGGATACGTGAAATGAACTTTGTTGAGATCTGCTCTGAGAAACACCAAGAAAAGTGCAAGTGAGAAATTCTAACCCACCAACCCCAACCCATGACAAACTCATCAGTTACTTCAGGAGTGTAGGGGAGGTCCAGATGAACCATAAAGGAAAGTCTATCCACAAGAAAATCTCGATTTTGGACTGAAACAGGACAGTGTGAAAAGAAATATTTGAGGAGTGAAGTCTACAGTATCTGTGGTCCTTCTATAATCATTATAATAATTAACAGCAGAAAGGGAAAACACAAATATATAAAAAAGAGACAGGCTGATGCGTGAGGCAAAATGTTTTTGTCTCACAGTGCTAAGAAATTCCATGTTAAAATTTCACATTGTCATTGACATTTGGATAGAATCATATTTTTGGAACTAGGTAAAAGCAAAAGAAACAGCTTTATTTTTGCAGACAGGAAATACTATTAAATCTAAGAAACTTAAAACATTTTAATATTGCCCAATATAACCAACAGCTGGAAACTAAAATATGAATCAGCAGACATTTGAAAGCTTTTAAGTATTACATCTCTGAACTAACTGCTGTTTCTCTGTTCCTAGCTGGTCATTATGTCTTCTTTTGACAAAAAGGGAAAACTGACACCAGCTAAGCAAGATAAAGCTACTAAATTTTCAGAAAAAGCTACATAATTGGGCCATGCTTGGATGAGATACAAGGATGGCAAGTTTTACAATGAAAAGGTGGGAAACTTTATACTTCAGGTCATCAGTTTGACTGGGGATCAAAACAAAAATCTTCTGTACATGGGGGTTCTGCATGAAGCTCTACAGACTCAATCAGAAAAGGGAAGAGTTTGTTTTGGCTTTAAAAATCAATTGTAAAGTCCATGGCTGTGTGACCCTAAACCGATTGAAAACTGTGACTGGATGAAGGCTGAGAAGCAAATTGGTGGCTGTGGGCCTGACTCCTACCAGACACATGTACACATGCCCAAACAATTTGGTGCCTGTAGATTTTAAAGTGATACATTTTGTTGTTCTTTAGAGAGCACCTTCACATTTTCCAGAATCTGGAGTCTGCCGATCAGCCAGGTCTTGTAACACAGGCACACAGCCTGTGAAGAGGCATTGCAATAAACCAATCCATTAGCACCAGGGTGGAGGGGTTTTTGTGGCTACTTTAACTAAGGTTAAACAGAATGAGGGTGAGTTTCATGGGGTTTTTTTTCTATGTGAGTAACTCGATCAATTACTACACTAATCACCTATTATACAGTGCAAGTGCCTCTGTGTGTGTTTGGGAATGCAGTAAATAGGACCAAATAAACAGGTTTGAGGTACATCAACACAATGGTGTTGCACATATTATTGCTGATCTTGCTGTTCTGTCCAGGAGCCCGAGGACTTCACACTCCAGGCTCCTCTGTTTGCTTCCATTCATCAGCACTAAACACACTTAAAAACATCTTCTGTTCAAAAATAATTGACAGCCTCAAGGACAGACAGTTATACAAACACTTTGATTTCTTGGATGATTCTGTGCCCTGTCGTCAGCAGAAAAACATCTGGCTTGAATGGTTTAGCCCACAGTGGAGAAAAGCAGAGAGCTTGCCATTCCCCTGCCAAGAAGCAGTTTAACTAGGTTGCTTACAGGACTGTAATAGGGTCATGGTGCCTGCAGGTGTGCATCCTAGATTATTACCAATCCAATTACACATATGGAAGGATTCATAGCACAACAATCTTACTCTTCCAATATGGGCTTGTTCTGGGACAGGATGCATTTCAAGAGCATCAACAACACAAAACATGGATCTTCCCACTTAAAAACTGGTTAAATAATTAGCCAAAGAATTGTTAAACAAGTGATTCTCCTTGTATTTTCAAAACTCATGCCCAGCCATGCAGCAGATTTTAAAGATGGCCACAACTAATGTGAAACAGATGTGCTGCTTTTAAATAGAAACAGGTGAACTGATTAAAGAGGAACCTAAAGCAGATGCATAAAATCTTTCCATTTAGAACTGAATAGAGGCATTCCTCAGAGCCTAAAACTCATATGGGACAGACAGCAAATTAAAGTGGAATTATGGCCCAAAAATTTACACTACAGAAATGACATTTCAGTATCTATTGGAAAGTCTGGAAAGACTTTCTTACAAGCTTTGCAGATCCAGGCACTCTTCCTCCAGCTGCTGGAGGTAACTCAATTCAGAGCAGCATACAATTCAAGCTCTATTCCCTCTGCCTTACACTTCTCTAAATCATGGATCTTGGGATCAAGACTCAGGGAGTAAATGTGACCAGAAGAAAACAGTGCCCCTTTCCTCAGCTGCAGCACATCCATTCATAGCACAGATACTGACTGTTTTTGTTCAATAGCAGCCTGACACTAGTCAGATGAGGAAGGGAAAAGATCTTTACCAAGAATACTCCCTCCTTCTTCCCTCATCTGTACATCTGGAGGCAGCATATGGAAGTCCAACTGCTTGAGTCATCTTCAAGCAATGTTAAAGCTCAACAAGTACCAAATAACTTCTGATATGGTACTTAGCCTGCCTCCCTCTATCCCCTCTGGCTTCATAAATAATCTCTATTGACTCTGCAGAGTAATTCATCACTAATCTCCCCAGGACACCTCGACTGATTTAACACCAGCTTCACTTGCAGACATCAAGTGGTTTATTGTTTCATCCTCTTGGAGAACGCTGGCAGCATGACTCAGAACATGCCTGGGAGACATGTTGCAGTTTTACATCAACTTCCCTTACAGACATCTAGTGCTTGCTCATTTTCCCCCCTTAAATATACCCATTGATATAACTAACAGTAACCTCCCCCCTTCATTCCTCCCTCCCAAGGATCAAAGCAGAATACTTGCCACTAATTAACCATCTCCCCCTCAGAGTTACTTCATGGGCTTGTTCCTTGACTCTTGCTTAGCTTTTGCAAAAGAAACATGCTTGTCCACTACCAACTTGGATTTTTGTCGCAGCTACACTAAACTTCCATATCACAGGGCTCACAGTTCCACTCTTCCTTTTACTTTGGAGAAGGGGACTGATTATGATGTATCAAGGCCATTTTATACCTCCAACTGAAACACAGTGTTTCCAAAAGATGCCAACAGTAGTAGCTGTGACAGTGAGAGGCACTGATTGATACTTGGCTACATCCTAAGGCCAGTTTGTATCGCTCACCCAAATCTTATCTTTTATTGACTGTAGAATTTTTCATCTCCACAAGCCATTTCATACAGGCTACTAGTCAATTCATTCTCAAACTTTGTGGCTGAGACATAAGCCTTCTCTAACTTCTGAGCTCTCCTAGGGTTCTGTACAACTGCCAAGCTGCAGGCTGTTAAATATCTACATTTTGGGAATACTCATTGTCACTACCCCATAAAGGCCTCCTCTCAGAAGCAGTGTTCAGCAGTCAGGCTGGTCTAACTGCACATTCAGTCAGAATACAGAAAGATGCAGCCACT